GTTTCTCTTACATATCAACGACCTCCTTTCCTGCGCGAGCAACCCAATTCACAGCTTCGCTGATGACGGCACTCTACATGCAGGAATTCAGAGTGACAAGCCGATCTCTGCCGCTGAGCTGGAAATAAGACTAGCGACGACTTCCTCGCTCACAAGAGACCTGCAGGCTATCACTGCTTGGGCTCGCAACAATCTTGTACAGTTCAATGCTTCCAAAACACAGTACTGCCGCGCGATGTGCCTGCCAGGCAGACCCGCCTGACTTTGGCGTCCCATCTTAACAATGTCGAACTTCGTACATCCAGAACTGGCCGATACGACCGCTCCTTTGTCCCGAGGGTGTCGAGATTGTGGAACAATCTACAAGAGGAAGCTGTTTTTTTTTTTATATCGAAACAGCCGCGCAGGCAGAAGCCTAAATGCCGGAACACCGCGGCTGCTATGATGATCCCAAAGAAATTTTGTTAATACGATTTTTGAACTGCCTAAGGTTAGTAGAACTGGGAAAAGCTTCCTCCCGTAGTTTGTTCCACAATCTAGACACCCTCGGGACAAAGGAGCGGTCGTATCGGCCAGTTCTGGATGTACGAAGTTTGACACGGTTAAGATGGGACGCCGAAGTCAGGCGGGTCTGTCTGGCAGGCACATCGCGCGGCGGCACCATGGAAGAGAGCTCCGAGGAGCAAAGCCCGTTGGTGTAGCGATAGAAAAGAGCTAGATCGCCGACGGCCCGCCGGTGCGAAAGAGTCCCGAGACTGTCTGTTAGAGAAGAGTCATCGATCAGTCGGACCGCCCTCCTCTGGACAGCATCGAGCATGGACAATGTAGTCGGGGCGGCAGCACCCCAAATGTGTGAGCAATACTCGAGGCTAGGCCTTATCTGGGCCTTGTATAGAGTGAGAAGGTCGTGCGGAGAAAAGTACTTCTTAGCCCTAAACAAATAGCCTAGCTTTTTCCCAACAGCTGCAGCTATTGAAGAGATGTGTTCGTGCCAGATCAGGTCCTCGGTGATCTGGACTCCGACCAGCCGAAATGAATGGCTCTTTGGTAGGACTCGACTGTCCATCGAAACTGTATGAGCGCTAGGTCGCTTTTTGTTCGTCAAAGTACAGTACTGTGTTTTGGAAGCATTGAACTGTACAAGATTGTTGCGTCCCCAAGCAGTGATAGCCTCCAGGTCTCTTGTCAGAGAAGAAGTCGTCGCTAGTCTTCTTTTTTCCAGCTCAGCGGCAGAGATCGGCTTGTCACTCTGAATTCCTGCATGTAGAGTGCTGTCATCAGCGAAGCTGTGGATTGGGTTGATCGTGCAGGAAAGGAGGTCGTTGATATGTAAGAGAAACAGTGTTGGAGCCAAGACCGATCCCTGGGGAACACCCGCGTTGACGTTGTGGGATGAAGAGGAGAATCCGTCAATTACGACGGATATCTTGCGGCCAGAGATAAAGTCAGCCACCCATCTGCAAAGCTTTTCTGGGAGGCCGTAGGATGGAAGTTTGCTCAAGAGGGCAGCGTGCCACAGCTGATCGAACGCTTTCGTGATGTCAAGAGCAACGACATGAGCCTCACCATGAGACTGGATGAGTTTACTCCACAGTTGCGTGACGTAAGCTAGAAGGTCCCCTGTGGATCGTTGGTGCCGGAAACCATACTGCCTGTCGCTAATCAAGCTGTGACGTTCGAGGTAGTCCAGAAGCTCGCGATTTATGCACCTCTCCATCACTTTACTTATAACAGAAAGCAGAGCTATAGGCCTGTAGTTGTAAGGGTCGGTTTTAGATCCTTTTTTTGGGATGGGCTGTACATGAGCAAATTTCCAGTTTTCTGGAAAGGTGCCGGATTCATAAGATATCTGGAAGAGACGCGAAAGAACTGGAGCAAGCTCAGCTGCACATCTCTTCAGTACAATGGCAGGAATCAAGTCCGGACCAGAAGCTTTGTTGATGTCGAGCGACAAGAGCACTCGTCTTACGGTCTTATGCCTGAAAGTTACCTCCCGCATAGTGTGGGGAACCCTTTGAATTGACGGCACTTGGGCGTTGGTGGGGACGTCCATGGTGGAGTTGGCAGCAAAGATCTTGGCTAGCACTTCCGCCTTGGCCTTTGAGTCGAATACAATAGTTCCATCCTGACACGTAAGTGGTGGAAGGCTACTGTGTGAGAAGTTCTTTTCAATCTGCTTGGCCAGCGTCCAGAAAGACCGACTGCCATTGCGCTGCGACATTACCCTGTGCCTAACTTTTATATCATGCTGGGTTTTGGCATTGCGAACCGCTTCGTTATATTTGTTTCTGGACTCGACGTCGGCTTGTCTGTTCTCTACAGTGGGGTTTTGTAAGTAGGTTCTGTGGGCCTTGATCTTCTGCTAGCGAGCAGTGTCACACGATTTGTTGAACCAGCCGTTGGACCCTGGTTTAGGAACTTTCACTGTGTGAGGGATGTATTCCTCCATTCCGACGTGGATAATTTCGGTTATTGAAGAACAGACAGTCGACGCATCCGCGTCAGTGAAACAGACATCTCTCCAAGGAAAGCTAGAGAAGAAGTCTCTGAGCCCCTCCCAGTCGGCATGTCCGTAATGCCAAGTTTTGCGGCCTGTGCGAGTTTCTGCTGCCACAGCGGCTTCTGACCGAAACCTAACCTCCACAACACCGTGATCTGAGTTACCCAGGGGGTACAGGACGGCAGTGCTGTAAGGGGCAGGATGCGTGGTCAGAAAGAGATCCAGCAGGCTACTGGCGTGTGACGAGACGCGGGGGAAAAAAGTAGGGCTCGTCACCAGCTGGGTCAGCCCTTGAGTAAGAGCGAACGCTTCGACTGCACGACCTGCTGCATCGGTCTAATTTGAGCCCAACCAAAGCTCATTATGGGCATTGAAATCTCCGAGAAGAACTACCTCTGAAGCGGGGTGATTGATGTTCAGGAAGTCGATCTGGACGGCGAGGTATTCGAGTAGGTCATCCCAGTTATGATTCGAGGGAGAGCGATAAAGGCAGCAAATAAATTTGCCACAGAATGTCCTTCCGGTCTGATTCCAAAGAAAGATCCCTGGAGCAGGAAAGACTGCTGCGGACAAAAGCCACAACTCCCCCGTTCTTTCTCAGATTGGAGTGCACCTCGTAGTTTGGGAAGTTGAGATGGTTAATCGGTGCAGCCTCTGAGATTTTTGTCTCCGCCAAGAAAAGCACGGCGGGACGATTGGATTGCAGGTAGTGATGAACAGCATCAATGTTGCTGTTGATCCCGCAGATGTTCGAAAAACAAATTTTATCTTCGATGTTGTTCCCTCGAGCCCACCCTCCACCCGGACATTCCGAGAGTGGAGTGAGTTCCCAGTTCTATCAACATTAGGCAGTTAAAAAATCGTATTAACAAAATTTCTTTAGGATCATCATAGCAGCCGCGGTGTTCCGGCATTTAGGCTTCTGCCTGCGCGGCTGCTTCGATATATAAAAAAAATGTTTTACAGATTTGTGTATCATTAGCAAAAAGCATTACTTCAGATGAGCGTATCATTTTACAAATATCTGATATATAGAGAGAAAACAATAACGGCCCTAATATAGAGCCCTGAGGACCCCTGAAATTACATTCCTATAGGTGTGTCGAATTTCGATTCATCTTTAAAAATCCATCTTTTTCTAGTCCTTATCTTATAAAAATGTAAACCAGACTTATGAATCCACCGACGGAACGTTTCTTGTGAAACATTTCCTGTTGTTTCTTCATTCCATTTTGCTGTTATGTCCCTTACAATACCTCGACGTCCAGCTTTACAAATACAAACCAGAGATCTATGCATTCCAAGACTCATCTTACATAGCCTTGAAACTTGAGTTGAACCTGTGTGTCCATATTTTTTTACAATATCAACCACCGTAGACTTTGCGACATTTATTCGTTTATATCCCAAAAACTCTTTGACGAAACAATTTTATGATTAAAACTCTGATTGCACCGTTTGCTGCTTTACAACGAAGACATTTTAAACCAAATTGATTCACAGAATTGATTCTTCAATCAAAACGTCAAATAGCACTTCAATTATTTTCTTTTTAATATCGTATCCGAACATTTATGTGTCTGCAAAATGTTGCGTTATTATCAACATTAGTTTGATTTTATATTTCGGTAACATATTTCTTGAAAACAGTTTTGTTAATACGATGTGCTTACAATATATTTCGTTGTTTTATAAACGAAAACCAATTAATTTTTAACTTTACAAAACAAAACAATTTTTTTTAGATGAAACTAGATAATGTCTGAACATTTGTGTATTAGGGCTCGTAGAACAAGTCAATGGTAATCAAACATACACAAAACAATATAGACAATAGCCAACAACAAATGAACATGTATACAGATAAACAATGAAAGTGTAAATATAAATAATATCTCTCAGACAATATAAGCATATTATCAGCTTTTAAAAGAAGTTACAGAAAATTTATATTAGTTGAATTGTAGTGTTTACTTTGTATTGTTCCCTTCCTTTTTATATATTATGTTTTTTTTTCATTAAATCTGCCTAAAATGATTTGGCCTTTTTTCGTTAAATTATATAATCTCTTTGTATTCATATTTTTTATGCTTGTAATTATTATTTTTAATATCAACTTATATAATTTGGTTAAAAACTCATCTGTTGAAATTTTGTTTGTTGGGCTAGTACTTTGATCAGCTTGTCTGTTTACTAGTCCATTTTGCAGAAAATTGATGTTGTTTATTCATTTTTAATCTTTTTTCTCTTTGTATTTTTTTTGCTCTGCAAATAAACGGTATTATTATTATATGTATAGCGCTGAAATTTGAAAATTTGAAAACGCGTAACTACATCCAAATAAAATACATAAAAAAACAAGATGTTGTGCCCTGTTAAGAGATATATTAGGCATGAGGATAGTAAAAAATACCTCTAACTGTACGGAGGAAATGTAATGTTCTGCAAAAACTAGTTAATCGAGTAGCAAAATTAATGTTTACTGAAAATACATACGTAGGAATTGTTGGATGGTGCCTTAGAACCGCAACCCGTAGAAACGCCAAGAAAAGCTTTAACTCAGCGGCATCAAGTATTCCTTGAACTACTGCAGACGGAAACCAACTATGTAGATATACTCCACACGATTATGACGGTAAGTGAGGGATACTTTTATATGTTTCGCATTACTGTTCAAAATATGGCGATTTTCCAACAAAAGTGTTCTACCATAACTTTTGTTTCGAAAGTTGAGAATTCTGAGTTGTAAAATGTTCTGCCAGATGTTGAAAAAAACTTTGAAGAAATTATTTACGAACAGATCATCGAGATTATCGAGGGAAATAAAATTTTAACCAAATTCCAAGGTAGATTCAGGAAGAAACACCCAACTGAAATGACAATATAAATGGTTTTATAAGCCTGGAGGAGATGAGTGGACAATAGGAAACAAACAGTGACAGTGTTTTTGGACTTCAAAAGGGCGTGTGAAAATATTGACAGGGACTTACTTACTTACATAGTGCATCACTATGGATTTCAAGAATCTGTATTCAAAATTCTACAAAACTACTCAATAGACAGAAGTCAAAAACCAACATTGGATCTACATTATCAAGCTCAAAAAATATTTCTTTTGGTGTATCACAAGGTAGAAAACTAGGTCCACTACTATTCATTTTATACATTAATGAAATTTGTAATATTTTAGATTATTGTAAAATTCAGATATTTGCAGATGATACATTAGTAGATATCAGAAAAAAATGTAGATAATGCTTTGAAAATGCCAAATTCTGACTTGGCAAAAATCACAAATTGGTTAAATGTAAAGAAACTAAAATTGAATGCTTCTAAAACAAAATGTATGCTAATAGGGATATACATTACATTATTTCAAAAATTGCAAAAAAAAAACTTACTTCATCATATTTGCTTATTATTTTTATATTTAAAATCAAGTCATTAGGAATTTGATTATAAAGCCGATAGATGTTATATGATAAAAATGAGCAGTTTGAGGACGAGGTATGTAGCCCCGAAGCAGCACATTTAAATTATGAACATCGATGCGAAAAATTATCCTATGGAATCAATATGGTGTTTGCTTAAATGACAAAATTTTGTGAAAAATATTACATGCAAGCAAGCCACGTCAACATCGCATATTTAACTACTTTGCCTCAAGCAACTTATGCAAAACTTCTTGAAACTTACATAGACCGTAAATGAATCTTAGACAGGACTTCTGAACACGCTCAATTCTGTCCATGTCAATCTTGTCTAAACAAAACCCATATACGCTATTACAAAAATTAAAATGACTAAGTACTAGTACTTCACGAAGCAATATTGTAAGTTGAACATGAGGGCATATCGATGAGCATATAGAACTTTCAGAAAAGCATGAACTTTCTGGATATGTTCATTAATATGAGGCTTGAATCTTCGATTTGAGTCAAATTCTTCTCCTAGATTTCTCACAGTGGCAAACAAGGTTTAGATTCACTTCTTATTTTGACATGAAAAGTGGACTCAATATTTTCTTTCATTCTGCCAAATAACATAAGATGTGATTTGCCAGCATTAATGTGCAGACCATGATTTTCCAAACATATAACTAATCTTTCAATATCTCGATTAACAATGGCCAGGGCATCACGTTTCTCGTTAGGATTGAAAGAAAAATAAAGCCGAGTAACGTCAACATACAAATGTACCTGACAATTTCGGTGACATTGTGACAAGTTGGAGGTATAAATATTGAAAATCACAGGACCTAAAATGGAGCTTGTGGTATGCCCGATGGGATAACATCTTTGGAGGAATTCCCTTTATCTGATTCTACGTATTGTGCTCTGTTAGTTAGGTCACATAGGCTTGCTAGCAGACTCGGAAACCCATATATAGTGTAAAATGCAAGTCAACATTTCATGATTAGTTTATCAAATGCCTTAGAGTAGTCCAGGTGCACGAGAGGGGTGGTTTTTCCCGGAATCTGTTGCTTTGAAGATATCGTTAGTTATATTTAACAGTGCAATTTCGCAACTGAATCCCTTCCAAAATCCAGATAGATAGTCAGGTAACAAATTGTTCTCAATTAAATAATCTCTTATTTGTCGGTTCAATATAATCTCGATACGTTTTGGTAGCACTGGTAAAACACTTATAGGGCGAAGAGTAGTCACTAATTTCAGACTTCTTTGGTATTAGTATAATTGTGGCAATTTTCCATAAGTCTGGAAATTCCCTATCTAAAAAACAGGAGTTTATTATATTAGTAATGTAAGGAATCATTTTTCGGAATCACAATGAAATGACTTCAAGATTTATGCCATCAGCACCCATGGCAAGCGATGTAATTCTGAAAAGCGCATTTTTAACAACATCCTCTGAAACTGTGAGATTCAAAAGAAGTGTTGACTTTAGCACTCGTATTGCTTGTATCAACTATAAAATCAATAGGTATAAAAATTACATCAAGCAAGGTTAGGCTGTTTTTTTGCTACTGTAGTAGGTTCTTTGATTACCTGTGTCAGATCAAAAGCTTCCATACAATCATACAGTATTGTAGTACAATAATGATTTGAAGAGTCGGGTACATCAACATTGAAATCAGCCACAAATTGCCTTCATATCTAAATCGATGGTATTATTATACGTATGTTATCGAATACGCGTAAAAACATTTCCAGCCTATTCATGATTTATTTACTGCTAAAAAGTGGCCAAATGCTCACTAACATGTAAAAATTTCTGAAACATATGTTTCTCACTGTTTTTGGTGGTTGTGTCACAACATGAAACGAAATGAGTAGACAGATTAACTAACTGTGCCATATGCGAAGCTTAACTTCTAGTTAATAAGAGCTATTTTAAAAATCCGAGATGATGGTTGGGTGTCATGTTAGAAAAAAATTGTAGATGCGCTTATACCTACTGTCTCTACATTTTTGTAGTGTTGCATTTTAAGCGAATTACTTTGTGATTTCCATCTCATCTAAACTTTCCAAATTGATTAGATGTTCAAGAAGCACCTGGAAGAAATGCCTGAGGAGGAAGCTTTGCTGAACAATACGGAACTGAACTTGATATTCGGCAAACTGCCGCTGATCTACGAGACTCACGTGAAGATGTTGGACGAATTCAGGTGGACGTCCGTTCATTGGAACGAGGAACGAACGATCGGTATGTAATATACTAATAATAATAATTTATTCTAATAGGTTAATACAAAATCACAGGAACAACTTTTACATGTTGTATTTTGCCTTTTCAACAATCAGTTTGAATATATCTCAAAAACGCTCCAAATTGTCCTTGCGTCCTCTATGACGTCACGCTGTGTCAAGCAAAACGAACCTCACTACACAAATTGGCATTGTGTGCAAGCAGTAGTTTAGTCCGTTTTCTTTAACGAAAAATGAACCATTCGTATTATAAGTGCTGTAAAGTGAAACGTGAAAGCATAACTATACAAATGCCAAACAAATTATCCATATATGTTACAAATAATCAAAAAAACTCGGCGAAAGTGGTTACAACTTGCAAGAAGAGTTGATGCCTATAGCTTATTTACTGATTCAAAAACTGTATTTTTGTGAAGGTCATTTCATAAAATCTATTTCTAAATCTGTAGCAAAATTAATTAAACCTGTTTCTCAGATGTTCAAGTTTATTGATAAACTGGTCCGAAGAAAGGTAACATGACAACACAAGACAAAGGTTTAAATACACTCTATATAAGTCTATACATATCGTTATTTTCCATATTATCGGTGCAGAACACAAATGCAATAAATGAAAATTTCAAATCAGATGGTAGGACATCTTCAAGTGGTTATTATTTTAGTTAAGTATACGCCTAACTAGACATATACTATAGACAGTATCATCCACATATGAGCGGCGGCGTTGCCAGTTCACCATTTGTTTTTGCAGTGTTGCCGAACCGGCAAAAAAAACGGAATCGGTAAATAGTGTCGTTGAATTCGGTATAAGCAAAATGCCGTCCCAAGATCAGTGGTAGATCAAGGACCTTTCAGTCATAAAAAACGTCTATTATTGTATTGATCTCGCACACAACATGTTTTTTGAGGGCATAGTTCTATATTACAACTTCTACAATGTGCATACTGGTCGTTCTTTCAAAGTACTTTGCAACCATTCTGGAAACTCCTTTTTCGATTCTTGCTTATAGTATTGTTTATATTTTTCTGTTTTACCCTTGAACTCATGAACTCACCTCTCATTTTAATTAAATATTTATTTTGAAAACAGGCAGGTTTTGGTTTCTTTATTGCTTGTTCGATTCTTATCGTTTTAGGAAGTATCAATACTCTAAAATATTGGAATAAAATTATCGATATCCAGCGGAAGGAAACAAAGAAGAAAAGTAATCTGAAGTTAAACACTCTTTCTGACGCAGTCCGGATCGAAAGATGACGATACTCGTGAAATGTATTGATACTTCTAAATACAGGTTGTCCGCAAAGTTGGGGTTTTCCTTTTCAGAAACTACTACCCTTGAAATAACAAAGGTAATGTGTAGTGAAACGAGGGCGACCAAGTAAAAAAAATAAAGGAAAAAGTACTCACTCTCCAGTTGACGAGAAGGGCTAAGTACGTCTCTGCCCGAAATCATACCGCTCCAACAGAAAATGAAATCAGCTGATGCGCTACCGAGGAGACGCAGGCAAACAAGGAAGGCAAACTGTTTCGTAAAAAGTCTAGGTATTGCATCCCGTCCAGTCGATTTAGGAGAATAAATGGTCCAATGAGCATACCGTTCACCATGCCAGCCCAAACATTCACCGAAAATGTTTGTTGAAAATGTGCCCGACGGACAGCGTGCGGATTTTCTACTGACCAAACATGAGTGTTGCGAAAGTTATTCACCCCATTACGCGTGAACGTAGATTCGTCTGTCACCAATATGCACTTCAAAAAGTCCGGATTATTGTCATGTTGATGCAACAACCACTCACAAAACCGCACTCTTGCTGGAAAATCGTCAGGTTGAAGGCCTTGTACACGTTGGACGTGAAACGGATACAGCCCCTCTTCACGCAGCGTTTGACACACTTTAGTTTTTGATACTTGCACTTCTCTAGCCACGTCTCTAGTGCTTGTTGAGGGATTCACGTCTACGCGATTATCTCTACACGCGTAACCGTAACCGTCGGTTGAAGGTTGCATACTGACCTGACACACTGACCCCGACCCAGTTCTGTCGTCGGGTTGAGCTAGTGTCCTAGTACCACTGGGGGATGTCGCGGCTACAGGACGGTATTCAGATATTTTTGATGTTGCAGAGCCTTTTATCTCGGTTCCCTTAAGACATTGGTGTTTATGGTACTAAGAAAAATTGCTTATGTTTTCAAGATCTACACGTCGTGTAAAGGAAAACCCCAACTTTGCGGACACCCTGTATAGGATGGTATCGAACATCCCTACTGTCAAGATCTATAACCCGAGGTACCGACGGAGCTATTTTTTGGCGTCATGGAGATAATTTTAAATTTTCACTTACATTTGTTCAAGTGTTGTGCCTCGATTTTGGGAAAAATCCCACGAATAGTCTTATCAAGTAGTAGAGTATATTTCAACAGTTGGCGGAGCTTACTCCACTGGGACTAGGGGGTGAAACGGGATATTAATGCACAATCTGGCAACCATGTCGCACCGTCAAAAAATGGCCGCTGACAACCACACAAGTCACCGTGTTAACATTGAATAGCATGGAATTAAACCTTCAGTGTATATGTTTTGTGACTGGGACCAAGGGATGACAGATCCCACACATGTGTCACTCGGGGAGTTTTGAAATGCAGCTGTTGTTCAAATAATGTCTAATTATATAACCTAGAATGTGTTCTCGTGAAAAAAGAAAAATATGGCCAATTTGTAGTTTTTTTGCAGGTTTTAGGTTTGCTGGTAGCTTTAAGACATATGTTTGGATATTTCTTAATCGCTGTGAATATAGTGTGGATGTTTGTTCAGTTCCTGAACAACGAAAAATTTTCAACTTTATGGATGTATGGATATCAAAAAATCTGAATGGTTTTGTGGGAATATCAATCTAAGGTGCCATCATGGTTCTGAACGGCAAGTAAATGAATGAATGTTTGGAAACGAGCAATATCTTTTGGTAGAGCCTGTCATCAAGTAGGTGCTTAATGGCTATCTGCTAGAGGTTTATAGGAAAAAACACCCAGTATCACATATCAATTGAAGAAAATAATATAAACATGAATAAAAAATCAACACTAGTAATTAAAACATGAATTTGATTCAAAAATCAAACATTTCTTAAAATTTTGACTGAATTATATGTAATTTCTTAATATTCAATAAGCTGGTTTCAATGACAAGTTGTCATCTCATACTTTGACAGTATTTTGTTTTCAACATTTCATAGCTATTGGTTGCTAAAATTTGTTGATTGGAACTTGAAGCTCATTCGCTGTATCTGACGGTCTGTTACCCTATAGGTGGAGAATAACGGACTGTTGTTGGCGAAGTTGGCCCTTAAACTATTATTTATTACTGTAAGGTCGGTATTAATAGTGGATGGCAGTATTTCAATAACTCCCTATTATCATTTGCTACAGGTAATATCATTGTAAAGTACTCGACAGAGCTACTGAGAGCCTACCCACCGTTCATTAACTACTTTGAAGAAATGAAGGAGGTGCTGCAGCAGTGCGACCAGAACAAGCCCAGGTTTCACGCTTTTCTCAAAGCTTGCCAGACCAGGCTGGAATGCGGCAGGCAGAGCTTGCAAGAGCTCATGATCAGGCCGGTGCAAAGGCTTGGTAGTATTAGCTTACTTTTAAATGGTAAGTGTAGAACAAATATGTATTTTAGCGGATAATTGTCAGCCAAAATAAAAAGAAAATAAAAAATGATAAAAACGGCAGTTAAGTTTATCCGATACTAGATTCTAAAATAACCATATTCAAGTATTCTATAAGAGGCATACAAGCTGTCCCAGAAGTCGACATCAAGCCGGAAACGGGGGATGGGTCAAGTCATAATAGTTATCAGAAAAATATAAAAAACTAAGTAGTGTACTTTTCAAACTACAGGCTTTAAAAGAAATCGGAAAATTCTCCGGCCTTTGATGATGTTTTAGTTTCCATTACTACAAATTTCAATTTTTTCTTCGATGGAGTGATGGACAGTATCATTCTACGTAATGAAAATGATGGCGGGTAAAGCACAAAGCTGTTTGAAACTAATTGAAGACCCAAGCTCTTGAATAGTTTAGTGCTCGTGTTGAATTGCAGTTTTCAAGATTTTTGCTTTTAACGCCCTCAGCGTCTCGAAGGAGCACTTAGGGTCCATATATTTGTAATAAACATCAAATATCAAGTGAAGACACAAGTGGATAAAGGTAACATAAAATCATCATTGCATAAAGAAAATTTATTATAAATTTATTTTATTGGATCTTTTTACTTTATTGAAGTTTCAAATATTGAGATAATTAGTCTGTTATTATCTTGTTTGCAACAAAGTAATCACAAAATGAAATAATCACTCCTTAAGGTTAATTTAATGCAAACAATTTTTTTTAAGTGTTACATGACACCTATATCCACTTGTGTCTCATGTTCACTTTTAATTTCAGATATTTTAAAACACACCCAAAAAACGAATCCAGATCATGCTGCACTAGAGCAAGCTCTGGCCGCATTACGAGAAGTTATGACTCACATAAATGAAGATAAGCGGAAAGCAGAGGGCCAAGTGACGTTATTCAACATATTCAAAGATATAGATAACTGTCCGGTAAGTGTCACTGTTGTGTTTCGACTGTTGGAAAACTCAAAGATAAATGTTTTCCTTCCAACACAGTAACTATATTTGATAATACTTTATACAGGGTGGCCCATCCATGTGTGGACGGAATATTACTCATAAACAAATACATTTTGGGAAAATCTATTTATGGCATGTTATACATGACATTTGAGGGCACATTTCTAAAATATTGGCCATTATACAGGGTGTCCCAGTTTCGACCTACATATCAAAGTTGTGATTTTTCAAATAGAATGCCTCAAACAAAACAAAAAATTACCTAAAGGATTGCAAATCAACTCTTATTCCAGCTTTCGGAAATACCCTTTCAATCTCTGTGCGATCACGGGTTACCGAGATATCAGTGGTCAATGACAAAAGGATTCTTTCCCATTCAGAGTCAGATATCGAGATTTTAAAAACAGGCTATTGAAGCTGAATAAACTGGCTATCTGATCCATATGATACCCTAACCGAAAACAACAAATTTGGAAGCACTTGGACCAAAAAGAATTTAAACATTTTTTCTTGCTCTTTTTGTTATAATTGCATGAAAAGGTTGCTCCAAATATTTTTCGCTTGAAAAAAACTAAAAACTAGAATCTTGGAGCTTCTAAATGCTTTTAGAGTCTAGATAGGACCATTTTCACCAAAATACAGACTGTCAAAATGACCTAAAAATTGTGTTTTTCCTTGCTCACTCAATTTTTTCGAGTATTGTTCTGAAGTAAATTTGATTTTCAGCCGGACATCGTATCGTCGCATCGCAGTTTCGTAACGAGGGCCGAAGTGTTGCAGATATCCCAGTCGGAAGGCTTGGCGAGCAAAGGTAACAACCTGGTGCTGTTCCTGTTCTCCGACCAGCTGGAGGTGTGCAAGAAGAAATCGAAGGCGTACACGTTGAAGAGTCCATCAACGGTTGGCGGTAGTTTACAGAGTAAACCGCCGCCGAAACCGTTCAAGCATGTCAGGCTGATCCCGCTCAACACTATCAAAAGGGTGATAGATGTTACGGAAGCGGAAGGATGTCATAAAGTGAGTGTCATTATTGCTTTTCTCAATCAAGTTGAAACCTTTATTATATAATAATAATACTGAAACATTTATTTCATTGTTAAATAACCACAGACTATAACGAATCAAAAGTCAAAAACAATACAATACAGATTAAAAAGAGTTTTACATGCAAACAACTCTTCCAAGCTATAAAATCACTTATCTGTTAGAAATGATTTCAACTGACTTTTGAAGCTTGTTGGTGCTTTTTGAATACTTTCTTTTATTATATTATTGAATATTTTACAACCCATGTAACTCAAAGATTGCTGATTTGCTGCGGTACGATGTTGAGAGTGCTATCAGCAGGACTTTAGATTGAGTTTGATAATCGTGTTCTTCTTTGTTATTGAAAAGGTCAATTTATTTTTATACACAAATATTGATAATTCATTTAATGATTGAAAATAATACTTACAAGATTCACGACAATTAATTCTAGCAACATATTTCTGGAGAAGAAACTATCCATCGATGAGCTGTATCCCCTACTTAAAATGCTTTAGGGCAAATTACCGTTAAAACTTGAATAGTATAGAGTAAGTAAAACTTGCTTAATACAGTGATTTTATAAAAATTTTATACCATAAGCACTTTGACGTAATTTATGATTGCATCTCGACATGCGGCTCCCAAGTTAGATGACAATCAACCCAACAACTTAACAGAAAGAGATGCAACTGCTAAAACGTTATTAAAAATTCTGATATCTTGGTTATCACCATGGACGTCTCCTCACCGCCCAAGGGCCGTCAATAATTCAAAAAGTTGAATACATTATGCGGGAGGTAACAGTCAGGCATAAGACCGTAAGACTAGTGCTCTTGTCGCTCGATACCAACAAAGCTTCTGGTCTGGACTTGATTCCTGCTATTGTACTGAGGAGGTGTGCAGCGGAGCTTGCTCCAGCTCTTTCGCGTCTCTTCCAGATATCTTATGAATCCGCTGTACCTTCCCAGAAAACTGGAAATTTACTCATGTTTAACCCATCCCAAAAAAGGATCTAAGACCAACCCTTACAACTACAGGCAGTATGGTTTCCGGCACCAGCGATCCACAGGGGACCTCCTAGATTACGTCATGCAATTGTGGAGTAAACTCATCCAGTTTTATGGTGAAGCTCATGCCGTTGCTCGACATCACGAAAGCGTTCGATCAGCTGGGGCACGCTGCCCTCTCAAGCAAACTTCCATCCTACGGCCTTCCAGAAAAGCTTTGCAGATGGGTGGTTGACTTTATCTCTGGCCGCAAGATATCCGTCGTAATTGACGGTTCTCCTCTTCATCCCACAACGTCAACGTGGGAGTTCCCCAGTGATCAGTCTTGACACTATTCCTCTTACATATCAACGACCTTCTTTCTTGCACGATCAACCCAATCCACAGCTCCGCTGATGACAGAACTCTACATGCAGGAATTCAGAGCGACAAGCCGATCGCTGCCGCTGAGCTGGAAAAAAGCTAGGCTATTTGTTTAGGGCTAAGAAGTACTTTTCTCGTCATGACCTTCTCACTCTATACAAGGCCCAGATGAGACCTAGCCTCGAGTATTGCTCACACGTTTGGGGTGCTGCCGCCACGACTACATTATTTATACTCGATGCTGTCCATAGGAGGTCTGTCCGACTGATCGATGACTATTCACTAAGAGACAGTCTCGGGACCCTTCCGCACCGGCGGGCCGTCTGCGACCTAGCTTTCTTCTACCGCTACACCAATGGGCACTGCTCTTTAGAGCCTTGAGTCTCAGCTCCTTAACGTGCAGGAGGTCCAAAGTGATGGACCCCAGTATATAGTGCCTGTAGTAGCTCAGAGCCGCACAACGACACAGAACATGCGCCCAGGTCTCTTCCTCCACCCCGCAGCGCTCACACAAGGAATTCTCAGCCACCCTCATCACGTGCATCAACGTGTTATACCCAGACAACAGTCCCACCAGCAACCTTAGGTTGGCTCTATCCAAGGATAAGCAAAAGCGTCCTACGCTAAGTTCCCGTGCCTTACGGAGATGTCTGGAGATGCTTCTCTATTTCTGAGAGTGTTGTCTTGCACTCCACTTCTCCGAACACTTTGCGCGGGCACCCCTAAGGCTGGCTCAGGACCAACGAGATTGCTGGCTGATCCTGCTTTCGCAAGAGCATCCGCCGTATCATTGCCCCTTATCCTAGCGTGCCCCGGTACTCACACTAATCATACCCGATGTCTCTCTGCTAGACTGTCAAAAGCCTCCCTGCATTGCAATACAAGGCTCGAAGTAATCTTACAGTTACTTAGTGCGTTTTTTGCAGCCTGGCTATCGGAGAAGATTTTTATTCTTCTCCTCCAAAATGCGAGATACGCAAGCCAGAGATTTCCGCCTGAAAAATAGTGGTGTATCCACCAAGAAGCAGAGTGAGTGCCAGAGCTGCCCACTCTCTTTGGAGACATTCCGACTTCCGGAGTCCCACTACGCCCTCGTTGGATACTCCACATTCAACTTGCGGTTGAAGCGATATTTAGGGATGGTCAGATAAGCCCTGGTTAGAAGGGCAGAATCCTCCCTTTGCAGTTCGACTAAGTGTGACTCTTGACAGGATTAAAAAATGCCCAGTTGCCTTGATTCCACAGTCGATATGCGACTATTCTCGCCTCTCCGCGTATTACTAGATCCAAAGTGAGAGAGATACAGCGGAGCTTCCATTGCACCATGTCACCAAACCAGGGAGCCGTTCAAGAGAGATGGACGTACTATCGCCGTATAGAGCCAGTGTACCAATTTGGGTCTAAGCTTCCACCTCACTACGACAACACATCTGCAAGCCCACATTGAATATTGAGCCTTGTTAACCTTCAACATGCTCTCTCCAGTTTAGTTTACAGTTCAGAATAATTTCTAGATATTTTACTGATTGGGATAGAACTAGTCTAGTCCCAAAGAAGATCGGCATGACAAGCCCGTCAAATCTCCTTCTCCTAGTGAACAGAATCAGCTCGGTCTTTCCAGAGTTGACAGAGAGACCGACCTCCCTACACCACGATTCCACAGCGCGCGGAGCGCCCTGCATGATCTCAGAGACCATCCTACAAAACGACCGCTAATCACTATGCTTAAATATCACTCCCCTAAGCATTTTATCCTCCTTTTAAAGTAAATTGACACTATTCAGATGCTCAACTGTTCTAACGACTGAACGCGTATATATATTCACATTCTTGAGAATCGTAATCATCACTGTGGTTTGTCTAACTTGAAGTTTTTTTCAGGTTTTTAGCTTAGTTTGTAGAAATAACGAAGACCTGAAAGAAAGATTACATTCATTTGCCATGGTTGATGAAGATTCGGATAAAGTTGCATTTTTGAAGACCCTTACGAGGACGATGGCAAATAACGCGTGTACGGCTGATGCGGTGAGTATATATTATTAACTAAGATAATTTGAGTCAGTTTGAACAGTCTACTTACTTTACACTAATTAACCTGCTTCTAGATTTGAAGTGGATAAACGAATCATGTAACATTTTTTAAAAATTGCTTTTTTCCATTAAACTAACCTTAAGGAGTAATTGTTTCATTCTGCGATTACTTTGATGCAAAAACAAGATGATAACAAATTAAACTAAATATACTAAATGGCATAGAAAATGCAATACCCACTAGGAGTGCTGTAATTTTGAGCATACATTTAGTTTTAGGTCTACTGAAACTGATTAGAATTTCAACTCGAAATTTCGCAAAATAGCTGAGATATCCTACCTTACTTTCGTTAAGTCGTCGCGGCATTGATGTGATTGATGTCTTCTTGGTGTATTGTATCCCAGGCCATCCGAATTTGGTTTCGTGGAGCCTCCAATGTTTGTGGAGGGTTCTTCCTATCTTGTCCCATACACGTTCGATGAGGGAAAGGTCTGGAGATCGAGATCACTGAATCAGATTTACTCCAGACTTCGACGGTGTACAGTGAATATAATTATTTCTTGTCTCTCTCATTTTTGAAATGTAGCAAATTTCCATGTGTAATTTCCAGAATGGATAAGAAAAAGCGGATGCGCAACTAATGTCTAGCTTTGAATCTCAAGTAAGTGTATTTGAGACAAGAATCCAATGGAATTATCATCAACACATATTATTAGCACACAAATCCTCACTATGCCGTTACCTCCAGTAATGCCATCTCTGAAGCAGATTTTACATCACATCATAGCCAAATGACAACTGAAGCCTCGTAACGTTTTGGCAACACGTACAACTACAAAACGAGTTTACAAAAGTGTCCATCAGCTAGTGCAAGTTAATATCTTGTAGAAAAACCTACTTATGTTAATGTCAAAAAAAATCGGTATATAACGTCACTTTTCAAGTTACGTAATACCCGTGCGGGTTCCCAAAAATTAGATCGAAGCTTACATCTAGCTACTAGGTAGCTTCATGTATACAGGGTTGATCAGAAAGACGTAGGAATGTCAAAACCGTATTGCTCGCGACAGGATCGCGGAAGCGGGACACGGGTAGTGGGGATAAGTAGCTTGGTACTCGGAAAGCAGCGTGGGTTCTATGTTAACGCTTATTACAAAAATGGAGATTCGTGCACTATTGCGCGGCGTTCGTTTCGCTCTGAGCTTAGTTTACATAATATAAATGTCCTAGTGAAAGTGTGATCAGGTCGTGGGTCGGAATGTTTGAGTCTACCGGTTCGACACTGAATCAGAAACCTGCCAAGGTCAATACGAACAGAGGAAACTGTAAGCGAAGTGCGACATCCGTACAGCGCGGTCCACAGTTGTCATCCCGAAAGGGATCAGCTGAGCTTGCCATATCAAGAACATCTGTAAGGCTTATTTTGGTAAAAGACCTTGAATTTGTTTGCTTGTTTCAGATTTACTTAGCATTAATGCTACAATATCCGTATTACACAGTATATCACAAAACATATTATGTCTTCATATCTTTATACAAAATTCACTACTATGAATTCTGGTTTTCCATGGGATATTTTTTCAATTTCCCTGTGAACATTTTCAAACTGACACACATCTTCATATCATTACTTGATTTATTAAATTCATACAATCCCTTTTGAAATACTGACTTGCTCGTTATATTGCTACAGCAGTTTTGTAAATGAAAGTCTATCTTCCTCTAGTAGAATAATTGTGGCACTCACACTTTCTAAGTGATTTGGTAGAAGATGATTTTTTAACTTGAATATGAAAATGGAAACCAAGTAGGCTATGAAATGTTTGGTATTCAACCATTGTAGTTCTTTCAGCATAAGATTTATTCTAGTAACTTTATTTTTATTTAAGATGATTCACATAGCTTTATTTTGTAATATTTGTAATGTTGAAAATACAGTTTCATTTGCAGTGAACAAAATAGTCGAACAATATAACAAATGAGGAAGAATGATAGTGTTGTACAGAATTTTTTTTAGAGTAAACGCTTAGGCTATGCGAAATTCTATAAATTAATTTATTTTCTTGGATATTTTTGAAATAATACATTCATAGTGTCCTTCAAATTTTAATTTACTGTCTACGTATATGCCCAAATATTTAAATGATTCGATTGACACAATTTTTCATGATTAATTGTAAGATTTATCGCATATTTATCTAAAGATTTTCCATTAGCATATATTTTGCTTTGTCTGTGTTTAGTTCAAGTTTATTTACATTTAACCAATTTATTACGTTTTTCATATCATTATTTAACAGCTTTATTGCAGTTTCAATGTTTTTATTTGATATATTAATGTATCATCAGCAAATAGTTGAATTTTGCAGTGTTGTAAAATATCAGGAATATCGTTAATATATAGAATAAATAGTAATGGACCTAATTTGCTACCCTGTGGCACACCTACGGAAATGTTTTTAATGTTTGATAATGTATTGCCAATTTTAGTTCTTTGACTTCTATTGATTAAATAATTTTGTTATAAGTTGAATACTGAACCTTGAAATCCATAGCAATGCAATTTCGTTAACAATTTCTCCCTGTCAATAGTCTCAAACGCTCTCTTGAAGTCTAAGAACAACGTTACTGTAAACTTTTTTTCATCCATATTTCGTCTCCATTCTTCTACTACCATTTGAATTGCTGTTTCAGTAGAATAGTTTTTTGTGAATCCTGCTTGAAATTTTGTCAATATCTTATTTTCTTCAATATATTGCACCCATATAAACTTCAAGTAGTGCAGGAACTGAAACCGCAGAACCACAATCTACGCCGTGCGTTTGCCGAAATGTTAGAGCGCTTTCCAAGTATGAACAATATTCTTTTTTTGGATGAAGCCCACTTTCATTTGAGTGGATTTGTCAACAAGCAAAATTACTGGTATTGGGCCGCAGACAATCCAAAATTAAAACACCATGGATCTTTGCGTTCCCGTTACGTTACAGTTTGGGCGGCCATGTCGGCTGAAGGAATCATCGGACCCTATTTCTACGAAAAAGAGCAAGGCCAGACTGTAACAGTAAATTTTAATTGCTATACAGCAATGCTACGTAACCCTTTCTTTCCACAGCTGCAGAATTTTGAAGCCTACCATAGCAGGATATGGTTTCAACAAGATGGCGCGACATGCCCATACCTCCACTAGTCTTTAGCAGTTGTAAATGAAAAGTTTAGTGGTAAACTGATATCGCGACGAAGGGACATTCCGGGGCCTCCCCGGAGCCCAGATCTCACGCTAAAGGATTTTTTCTCTGGGGATAACTCAAGAGCCGCGTTTACCCTAATAAACCGACGACGTTTGTCCAGCTCAAGTACAACAATTCAGAGAAGATGTCCGCTATCCCACAAGCGATGTGCCAGCGGGTTTTCACGAATTTGAAGTCGAGTTTTGAGGAGTGCGTGGCTCACATCTCAATGATGTTGTTTTAAAAAAATAAAACTCCCGTGTGTTTACTTTATTAAAAATATAAATTCACTTCACTACGCTTTGTAGTTTTTTTCTATGATTTTTTAAAATCCGCTCAACTTAATGTATTAAACTTGGACTATTCCATAGTGATATTGCCATATTTTTGTGTTTTACGAAAGCTGAAATCAAGTTAATAATAATTGTTTTTTTATTCCAGGAAAAGTTCATGGCGTACATCGACGCCCACCAGCTGGACATCGACACCAGCGAGGTGAGCAACAATGGCTCCCTATCGAAGGCGTTCGCAAAGTTCGCGACCACCCGGTTCAAGGTCAGCAGGGCGTTCTCTTTCAACAAGACCCCCTCGAAGCTGAAACGAGCCGTGTCCTCTATGATGTCTCCATTCGGCAGCTCCACCGCACTTACGCCTGCCTCACAGCTGGCGCAAATGAAGCTAGCTAGCTACAGCAACATTAACGTATGTAACAGTGGCTAATTACACTGATAAACACAGGATTTGTGAGATGACAATTTTTGGGTGTATCTTATGTATTTTGAGACCCTTAAATCAAATATAAAAACAGAATTTTTCTATCACCCACAGATATTCGGTAACATTTATTTTTATGAATTACAATACGTAACATCTCATATTGCTGCATTTCTCGGCGTTTATGCGATGACGCACATATATAATGTTAAGACCTGTCTATTCCTGTTTATTATATGCGAGCTCTATGTTCAGAGAACATATTGCGTTTATTAGTAGACTAATAGCAGCCGAGTCAGTTACGTTTTCTGTATTGAAGAGTACTGAGATGTTCTGAGTACTGTTAATTTTTTAAAACGGTGTGTAAGAGGCGACAATCGTGAAATGCCCTTTGCGGTACCAATGGTTTGGGGAGAACCGAGAGACCATACTACTGATTGCTATTTTTGCCTCACAATTGAGTCTCAAGTTTCACCCTTATTGAAACACTGAAATTTATAGTCTTCGCAGAGTTGACAGGTGCACTGAAGGCAAATTGGTTTTTCACATACGCAACAGGAGAATCTTGTTTGTCTTTTTAGTCTGCTGGGAGAAATGCTGCATAATTTGCTTCCTGATGGTCTCTCAGGTTGCGGTCGAGGCTGACGAGGGGGTAATCATCGCCCAGAACTCTTTGAATCGCCAAACACAGTTTTCTTGGAAGCCGGTGATTATATAATCTCATTCTATCAATGCTAACGTACTTTTTTGTTAATAACACACCAAATAGCCAAACTAGTACAAATATTGTAATTTTCCTACCAATGTTTGTGCCTGTCGGGAATCGAACCCGAGACCCTGAAATGGTAAACAGGTGTTCTACCACAATGCCAAATGGTTAGTTTTGATACAAAAATCAGAACTTATGCAGTGTGTCCTAGAAATGTCATAGGAAAATGGAAAAAATGAGGTTATGTCTAATAGAGGATACGTACTACAGACACAAGGGAATTTACACGGTTTTGTTGATGTGACGTCTATTAGAACCCAGTATTTATTTCTGTACTTACGTGTGTCAGACACCGGCACCTCGTCTGGGCTCGACTGTCTTGTAGCGCGAACCCTTTTAGGAAGGTACTGAGCGAGGCAGCACTACATCACGCTAAATTCCAAACTGGCGACGGTTTTTTTGGTTAGCGGTGCCTGACAGACTACCACCTAGGTTGCAGAAGGTTATGTTTTGCCGGATTTAAATCCCATCGAACATGTGTGGGATATGATCGGAAGGAGTCTATCCACTTTGCACCATCCGCCACAGACTCTGCCTCAGCTAACCCACGAAGTTCGAGTTTCTTGGAATGAGGTGTCACAACCAGACATTGATCATCTCATTTTGTCGATGCCAAGACGTATACAGCAGTGTATTCAGCTGCGGGGTCGCCCAACTCATTATTAATTTTTCTTATTGTCAATAAAATTTCGTAAAATTTCATTCTTCATGTAAGACTACCTCATTGCCAAAAAATCAAGTTGAAGGAATAATTTTTTCTGGGTGTAACACTTCTAATGCCACTGAGTATATAATCTAGTAATATTTTAATCTATACTAAGTGACATATAAATCCGAACACCCAGTTTAAATGGTTTTATTTTAATAAAAGTTGGTGAATGTATTTATCTTACTGTAAATAACAAGTGAAAGAATTTTCAGCCTTATCAGATGGACATTCCGGTTTTTATACTGCTTTTTTTTAATTCACTAACGCTCTAAAAATGAATATTTCAGCCGCAGCAAAGAATCAACGTTGGCGGATTTTGGTTCTTGACATCCTTTACGATCGGTTACGATGCCTAGAGTACGGAGACCTGTACGATTTCGTCAACTTAGTGAGTTTGATAGGGGCCGTATAGTGGGACTTCGGGAAGCTGGACTTTCTTTTCGGGCAATTGCAGTTAGAGTGCAAAGAAGTGTAGACACTGTGGTTAGGTGTTGTCAGGCATGGCTTCGAGAAGTCCGTACGCAAAGAGCAAGGGGCACTGGACGCCGCCGTAGAACAACAGACCGTGAAGATCGCCGCCTAAGATTATTGGCCTTAAGGGACCGTTTCTCCACTACCAGGTCCATTGCAAATGAATGGTTTGCAGAACACGGAAGACCTATTGGCATGCGAAGTGTTTACCGACGAATGAGAAGTTTTGGCTTGTTTTCATACCGGCCACAGTGGGTCCTCCCTTTAACTCGAGAACACCGACGTAATCGCCTTGAGTAGTGCAGACAACGGTCACTCTGGGATCAGGAATGGAACAGTATTGTCTTTAGTGACGAGTCTAGATTTTGTTTAGGCATGCACGATGGTCGTGCCAGGGTTAGAAGGCGAGGTGGTGAAAGGAGGAAACAGTTTTTTGTTGAAAGACATGTTCATCACACTGTTGGAGTTATGGTTTGGGATGCTATAGCTTATGGTTCCAGATCACCTTTAATCTTCATCAGAGGTAACATGAACGCGCAGCGTTATATCCACGAAGTTCTAGAACCCCATCTTTTACCCTGGCAGATCCAACTTTCCAACAAGATAATGCCCGACCACATGTTGCAAGAGTCACAATAGACTTCTTTCAACATAATGATGTCACATTGTTACCATGACCACCAAGATCTCCCGACTTATCCCCAATTGAGCACGTGTGGGATATGATGGGTAGGAGATTGCTCAATTTGCAACGTCCTCCTCAGACTCTAGAAGCACTTCGAGAGGAGTTGGTGGTTGCCTGGAATGAGATACCACAGGAGGACATTGACCACCTGATCAGAAGCATGCCTAGGCGCGTTGGAGAATGCGTAGCACATCAGAGTGCATCCACACATTATTAAAGGTCAAAGGGCTTTAAAGCAGTGCAATCAATTTGAAATTTTTATCATTTACTTATTATGCTTCATTAAGTACTTATACAAAATTTTATTAAAATAAAACCATTTAAACTGGGTGTTCGGATTTATATGTCACTTAGTATATTTTTCCGAAGTTTCGTGTGATGGTGCTTTTTGGAATACTGAAAAAATGTAATGCAAATCTGTAACTAACGCAAGTAATTTTACTTTCAGGAATTGGGAAATACGGAAGATGAAACTCTGCCGATGCCTGCAGCACCAATGTCTGTACAGCCAACGCGAAAAGTAAACTCAGCATCCTTAGGAACGAACGCTATAAAGAGATGTTGACGGTTGATTCTAAGTTTTACCTCTTAATATATTTTATCGAATCTATTATATTTGTACATATTCATTTTATTCTAAAACCGAGCGTGTTTATCAGCTTTTTAGTATCGTCATAAGTAAGATGTAAATTTTATAAATTGTCACTCCGTTCCCATTTCATTGAGAAATAATTTATGTATTATATTTATTCATTATACAAGTCGCACATAGATCGAGCATAAACGTAGTTTTGTACTGTTATATTTATTCACCTTATAGGTGATATCATTTTGAGAAATGAAGATGCAGCTTTCATTGAACCGTCTCTTGTGTTTACCTTACAACCTATCTCTTCCAATCCATTTTTGATTAACCCTGCTATCAAACTATCTTCTTTTGAACATATACTGAATGACAAAAAAAAAAAACATACGTATGTTTATTAGAATTCGAGAATTTTTTACATATCGATTTATCTTGCCAAGAAGAAGTGATAAAATGGTCAAGTTTATTTTAAGTTTTTGTGGTGGCTGCGTGTATTATTTGGTGATAACCAGGCATTCAGTTTTCGTACAATTACGGTGTCAGTTAAATGTTAAATTTCGTGTAGCTTTTTTATTTATTGGCCAACAGAAGGGAGATGGATTTGAGAGACAACCTTAGGCAAAGTTCACGTGTTACCATATTACAAAATCAAGCTGCCTATTCTTTTTGCTGGCGAAGCGATCTATGATTGTCTTCACGTCTACTTTAATATGCCTATGCATATACAAAAGAACTAAACCCACTAATCGCTCTTGTAACATAGCGGAGCACAGCCAAGTTTTTATCCTCTTTAGATGGGAAAACTTCTTTCAGATGTCGCAACACTTACCGGCAATGAAATCAATAATTTTAGGCATCTATTAATTGAAGGAAAAATGTTTTCATCACATGATAAATACAGTGGCATTCCACTGTCTATAATATCTTGTGTACGTAACTTCCAAATTCTGCTTTTAATCTGGTACTTATTAAATTTTTGTTTTCGTTACTATTTAGGCCATGCAAATATTTAGAAATTGTTTCTAATATGTCCATTACTTCAGCTTCAGTTTTTGAATTAAATACTGACGCAAAGAGAATATTAAAATTGTATATATTCAAAGATTCTTCATTGAACCGGTATACCAAATCCTGTAATATATTATCTAGCAAAGGGACATATAGGTTCAGTCTGTAATGATTTTCCTTGTCAGACGTAACTATGTTTGGTCTGTTCATTTGCCTGCTTCTTATTCTTGGCACAGTCAGTTCAATACCCACAGTTTCATGTGATTTCGTTATAGATGCGAATAGTATTCTAAAGTGTTTTTCGGAATTTGCGCGTCTCTCTTGTACAACTGAAATAATATTTCCTATCAGTTTGACAGCGTATTGCTTGTCAATTGTTTTTGATTGCAAAATCTTACTAAGGTTGACTGTTAAAGCTAATATATCACACAAACACTTTAGTGATACGATAAATTGGATGGAAGTAATGGCAGTCTTCAAAGACTCCGCTTTTGTAGAAGTTTCGCGGTCTTTCCAATTTGATATAATATTTAGTACCTCTACAATTTTCTCGAATTTGCACAGAATCATGTCTCTCGGTTCATCGTGTTTCGCACATACTATGAATTTGATATCCGTCTAGTTTTCTTTTTAATACCGCATTTCTTTTAGCGGATTCTTTGAAGAACGCAATTACTTCCTTCGTTATACCTATAGTATTTCTTACTGCTTGGACATTGCTGCTTTTTGAAATCGAAAGATTCAAAGCGCGATTTGCGCATTTGACGAACATTTTTGTAATTCCATTACAGCGCCCTTTTGTTCACCTAACATTAGGTTACACGTTTCAGAACCAATGCCCACACATAGTTTTGAGTTTAAGTTACTGGTTTTAATGCAATGCTTGACTGTTTGAGCAAGAATTTGACCTGTGAGTTTGGGCTCCATTGTATCTCCATCAAAATTTGAGTAGCAATCCACAAATTCCATGAAGTCCTCGTAAATATGTTTTTGATAACAATACCGCAAAACGATTGACATTTGTGATTTATGGCTAATGTCTATAGTTTTGTCAAACATAATACTGTAATAGTGACTTTGCCTGACGCGACTTAAAACTATATCCAAGATTTCTTCGCCACAAAATTCTATAATTTGATTTTGGATGCGGCTGCTTATTTACGTAGCATGCGCTTTTGAGTTCTCTTAAGTTTTTTTTCAATATATTGTCGCCGCTCTCGACTCTAAACCGTATTAGTTCTCTAAAATTCCCTTCATTATTGAGAACATCATCGTCATTCCTGCTGTCATTAGAAAAAAGTCGTTCCCTATCTCTATGCCCTCTAAATGGTATATTTTGGCGTCCTAAAAAAATTATATATTTTATTATAGGAGTCAATCTTTTCCGATTTTCTGATACTTGCTTAATTTGCTATGAACCCATTATATTTCTTATACCATTCTCTGGATTTTCGTAAATCTTTAAAAAGATTGTAGCATCTGAAACTGCTTCTGTATGATATATTAAGTTCTCATGTCTCTAACAATCAACGGTTTTGCCGTACAATTTCGAGAATTTCTTTAGTAGTGCGGTAACAACTTTTCCCAATTTAGTTGATTTATTGATTTATTTTGCAAAAACCACGCAATATTTACAGAAAAGCCCTTGCAGTTCCTCTGAATATGACAGCCAAGGAAATTTCTCAAAGTGTTTTTTGATAAGTAACATTTCACCTCTTTATTATTTTTCAAGTGTGTGGAATAGGGATATTTGAAAGAGTCATTAGGGATCATTGCACACCTCAATAAGGTATATTTTTCATGACCGCTGAAATTTACATATAATAGCGCAACTTCAACAAAATTGTATACTTTAGGTTTTGCACCCGATTGTTCAACACTTGGTTCAGCATACGGTGCAACATCAAGAAATTTGGAAGTGGAAGGCTCAGGTTGAATTGTAGGATTATCATCAGTTTTTTCCTTCCTTTCCTTTTACTCATCCTCACAGCAGCAGTCGTCGACCAGCACTAAAAGTTACACAAATATTATCAAATAAACGGCATTATCGGTTTCCACGCATTCACGTATCTCATAACAAGGAACCTAATTATATAATTTGCCATCTCAGAGGAACGAAATGCACTGAAGTGCTCATATACAGGGACTTCCGAGACAAAATAGACGTAGACGATAATGATAGCTGGAGTATGGACCAAAAACTTAGTAATTGAAATTATATTAAATTTCCATTTTTCCGTCTGTCATTTTCTTGACACGATTCTTTTATAAAAATTAAAAACATACAAAAATTAATTTTCTGGCGTATGCGTGGAAAATAAAAAATCAATAGAACATAGAAAATAGCGTTAATACCAACTAGATCAACAAAACTCCGCTTGTTCACTTCTCAGCCAAATTTTGTTGCGGACTCCGGACTGGTACAGAATTTAGACGCTAGACTAGACCATAAAAGACTAGACTATACCTGTTCCGACAGGAAGAAGTGCACACCGTTGCTGTTGGTGGGAGAGTAGTCGCTAGTCGCATGCGCTCTGAGCGGGTTGGCACTCTTGCCGCTATCCTTTCTTAAAGTTACAGATTTTTTTTTATGAGACGTTTACCTTTTCAAAGATTGAGTCGTCTGGGGGGGGGGGGGGTAATTACCCACTTTACCTCCCCCCCCCCCCCGTCAGTGGGACCAACAGATCCTTACGCAGTATACTGAAGTGCGAATGAGCGTGGACTCAGTACAGCGAGCGAGGGGTTCTGGAGGTCTTAAGAGGGACCGCAGAGCGACAAGACCGCTGGCTCTGAAGGACAGATTCAGTAGTACTTGAGCCATCGCTAATCAGTGGTTTGAAGAGCAAGCAAGGATGGTTGGTATATGCGAAGAGTATTTCGCTGAATACGACAGTTTGGCCTTTTTTGTTATCGCCTAGATTAGGTGCCACCTCTCACAGCTGAACATGCTCTGATGTAGAGAAAGAATTCTGTGGGACTGGGAATGGAATCAGGTGGTTTTTAGTGTTTTAGTGACGAATCCCGCTTCTGTCTGGGGATACACGATGGTCGGGCAAGAGTGAGGAGGCGACGTGGTGAAAGACGTGACCCACAATTTGACAGAGAGCGTCACGTTCACCAAACCGTGGGAGTTATGGTAGGTGGTGGTATTTTTGCAACAACCTCCACATACTTTAGCAGCTCTTACTCACGAAGTTGCAGTAGCCTGGAATGACATATCCCAACAGGATATCGACCAGCTTATCAGCACGATGCCCAGGCGTGTCAATGAGGGTATAAGAAATGGTGGATCCTCAACACATTATTGAACCAGCTTCTGCAGTCAGTTGACGAATCGAGCTGAAAATTTGATCATTTTACTAGTAAGGGACACAACATATATTCCAAAAATTATTAAAATCGGATCAACATTCGTAGGTGTTTACCTTTTCTTGTCACTCAGTGTACATGCTTCTAATTTGGGATAAGGGCACATCTTCAATCAAGCAGTTCGATTAGCTGGGTATTTAGGAAATCTATAATATGATTCTGGTAGAGTTAACACGTTAACTGTCCATGAATCATATGTGATTCATTAGACGTGTTTGTCTACACGCCCTTGAATCATATATGATGCATTGTACTTGCTTTGCCTTATGATAAGTTAAAAATTGGACGTTATATTTAAGCAGATGTTTATAGCATGGACGTATTATGAAGATATTGAGTTTGAAATTTTTTTTTCCAGGGCGCATCATATATGGTTCGAAGACGAATTTTTTATGTTCGAAAAAATGATTCCAAAAGTCTTTTATTTACAACTTTATTAGAGGTTTAGCTTACAAAATAAAGGAACATGATTCTGAAAATACAACATAAAAATGATTAGTTCATTTCTGGTTTTTATTTTTATGCGTTACAGCAAAAGAAGATAGACAAAATGGCTTATTACATATGGAACAGTAAGTATCTACTTGCTTAGTTTTTTTGGTAGCAAACTGGGTTCCATGTTCGCTTTGGTTTTTTCTGTAGCATTCATGGCATCTTTTTCTTATAATTTTACCGTCGTCCTTTCTTGGTATTTTTGACATGAAGTGCTCACCAGTGGATGGTTCAGTCTGGGTTGTTGTTTTAGCTACTTCAAGAAGATCTTCAATTATTTCTTCTGTAAAAAGCAATAGAGCCTTTTTTTCCGTAGATATTTCGTTGTATAATAACCAACTATTAGTTACAACGGTGCCAAATATTAACTCAATTGCCACCTTTTTGTACCAAATCACGGACTTACGAACTGGTGAGTAGTAGCTACTTAGTTGATCCGATACATCAATTCCCTGCTTTCCTGAGTTGTAATCTAAAATGACTTTGGGCTTGGTTACAGAAACCCCTTCTTTATTTTTTCTCCCTGTATCTGCAATATCATTCCCATGGCAAGTTGATAACATGCAAACATCACGCTTATCATGCCACCTCAAAACTGTTATGTTGTCTCTTTGTCTAGCGATTTTGTCCCCTTTTTTCAAATTGGTCTTAACAACTTCTTTTGGAACCCCCTTCCGATTTTCCGTAGAGTCCCACAAAGATCTGTGGAACGACCTAGCAAATATTTAGCTAGAGGAATACTGGTGTAAAAATTATCAGTTATGATTAGCCGTCCTTCATTCAATAAGCCTTCAGCTAAATTTACTACAACAGATCCAGGCTTGTCTAACTCAGGAATTTTGGGATCATCTCCACAATAAATAGAAAAGGAATACGTAAATCCCTTTGTGGTGCATAATTTATAGATCTTTACACCATATTTGCTAGATTTTGAGGGGTTGTATTGTCTAAATTTTAACCTTCCTCTGAAAGGAATCATAGTTTCATCGATAACTACAATTTCACCAGCACAATATGTTTGCCTTATGTTTGAAAGCACCATATCTATCAAAGGCTGAACCTTGTATGTACGTGATTCATTATCCCTGTGAAGATTATTGTCAACAAAATGCCAACACTTTAGTAGTAGGGCAAATCTGTTATAAGACATATTTATTTTGTGAAGAAGTAGGTGGAAATATACTTGGCTTTTTTTCCAATAATATTCTATACGCGGAAAGTTTATTATTCCCGTAAGCATGATGAGCCCTAAAAACCTTTTCATTTCGGAGATATCAGTATTTTTCCATCTCCGAAGTCTACTTGATCTTCGCAGTTGCCTATTGTTCAAAAATTGTTGAGCATATCTGTTAGTTTCTTGTACCATTAGCTCCAGAACTTCGTTATTTATAAAAGAAAGAAATATGTCCACAGGCGCACATTACCATCAGAACCATCAAAGCGTATAATGTTTTTCAGAAGCCCTGATTTTCCAGTAAACTGATGTCGCTGCAACATCTTGACTGTACTTGACCACGCAATAGTGTCGAGATTATTGGGATTTGGAATATTATTGGCTATATCTTCATCGGACGCCACTGGAGAAGATCCATTACTATCGCTACTGTCATCACTTTCTGATCCAGAATTGCAGGTGAACGTTTCATCTGCTATACTGTCGTCACTATCGAAATCAGAATCATTCATGTCACTCATATTGTCAATTTCCTCCTGGAGTTCTCTATCTGTCAATGGTCTGCTGGAAGCCATTGCTGAAAAAAAAATCATTGCATGCCTCGTGAACCACACGGCTGAGGTAGAATTTCTATGACATTTTCTAATTTATTTTGCAGCACATGTGAAGACGTCCTGTACATACTCAAAACTAAATATAAAAAGACTTTCCTGAAATAACTCACCATAAACTAAAAATAGGTAAGAATAGATTGAAATTGCGCCGTACGAAGTTCTACCTCCATACAATCAAATTCCAAATGTTTGTAGAAGGAAATATATTCAACTGAACTTACCAAAATAGTCCTGTTATTAGCACTAACTGGGTTTAAATTCAAAGTAAACAAACTGCTAATCATGTCGCACTCATACCCCAATCGAAGAATGCCATTCCCAAAGTCTCTAAGCGTCAAATCTTCATAGACAAAATACGACTAGATTAGGTATCCTGGCAAAATAGATAAAACGCAGAGCTCTCATAAAGCTCTACAGTGGCGCTTGCGCGAGCGTGTGTCAAACAAAGATAGCTATACCATCCAGAGTGATCTCCCGCATTTTTCACTTTTATACACAGAGCGGCCAATACCCTGCCTAGTCTAGCGGCAATATGTCTATGCACAAATCACTTGCTCGGGTATCATCGGACTTATGTTCACATAATTATGATTCATGGACGTGAGACATATATTATTCTAACCAATACGTTCATGAATCATATGTGATCATGGAAGATGGAGGGGAGAGAGTGATGAGATTTTGTCTATAAAACATAGTTGAAAACACTTTGTAACGGAATATTACAAAAATATGTATGTGGCATAATGGACGTGTTGGTGGAATCCAGAGAATATGCTTGGACAGTTAACGTGTTATAATAATAGACATCTCTATTCTATGTTCTCAACAATAATACACTATTCACAAATAGATTTAGTTAGTTTTGGTGAAAGTAAAAAATTAAAGAGAAAACTTCATATTTTCCAAACCCAAGCACACTAAAAATTATTACCCTGGCTTAAACAATGTATGAAAGAGGTCAAATAATTTTATTTTTACTGTTTGTCGAAAGACAGGTAACGAAAATTCTTTAGGAAGGTTAATAAATAATAGCAAAATTGTAGGAAACACTGGGTTTAAACAGTGTGACGACAGAATTATTAAATGAAAAAATGTCCCTCAAATAAGAGGGTTTTGACATGAGCAGTAATTTGTGAACAAAAACTGAATTTGGATTCTTGACCTAGTGATTAATTTAGAACGGGATATTTCGCTTACACTTGATCAAATTTACGTACCAAAGATCAAGCGTAACTTGAATAACGTTTCTGGTGAAATTGTTTAAACATGTTTAGTATACGATATTACAATAATTTAGTATAGAGATGACTTCATCAAAGAAGAATGGGTCAACAATAATAATAATATCAGGTGTTTATTAAGTCTTTGGAGAAACCCTATAAATTGAGCAAGATAAAGAAAGAAACGTGAATCATTTATATTTGATTTATTTTGAGCTAATATCCATCAAGAATAATAAACCTTCGTCTTATGTAATATTGAAAGTTTGCGAGAGACGGACGAGTAATGGACATGTAATTGAACCTTATGTTTACTTCAAGTTAAATATTACAATACTGCATGCAAGTTAAAAACTTACCTCACAACGAACTAATTCCATCAGCTGGTACCTGAAATCAATTGTTTAATGAATATTATTGTAGACGTGGATACTAGATACTTTAAGTATGAGATCAAATTCAAACATCATACACAATCTTTAAGGCATCGCAATTCTAACATGTGCAAAAAATCCTTCACAAAACAATAAACGGTTAAAGGAAACAAGATAGCAAATAACACTGTTTTGCTATTTAATTTATAAACCATTATTTTTATTGCACAGTTCTTCATTATATAGTGATTACAAAGAGATATCACCACGAAGGCCCAAACACCGATGGCCATTCTTCCACTTAACCCTTTTAAAAACATAAAAAATTACAAATTTCATATAAAATGTGTCTGGTGGTGTAACAATTGCAATAAAAGTTAAGTAATAGCAAGCATACAATTACTTAACACTTTTAAAAAGACAGTTTCTTTGCACAAACTGGAAAAATCAAGAATGTTCATAATAAAAACATTGCAACCTTAGAAAATACGTAAATAAATAAATCAGGCACTAACAAATATAGATGAAAAACAATAAGAAAGCGCCAGAGTGTTATGTCAACATTTCCATCGCTCAATATATACATCTTAACTTCTAATTTAAATTTATTAACTGACAAAGACAGCTATCTAGCAGAGAGTTTTACAACTTGACGGCGTTGTATCTATGTAAAACTATTTGAAGAAATTAGTCCTGTGGTGTGGCATTATTAAGATGTTATTAAATCTTATATATTAGATAAGATGTAAATAGATGTATTTAAACATTTAAAAGTTTGTTAGAGTATATGAGCATATTGAAAGCAAATAATTGTATCATATTCAGCCATCCTAGTTCTGAGAACGCACTAGTGATATAGTCGAACTTTCTGAGATTCTGAGTCGATCTACAGCAGGTGTTTTGGATTTTTTGGAATCTTTTATGGATTTACAGTACAAGAAAGGAAAATATACTAAAACGACGTCTGCGGTCTTAGATATCACCAAAGACTCGCACAAAATTCTCTTGACTTCTAATGCAGTAGCTAACTGCTTATCCCAAGCTCTAACAATGTTGCACGTTAAATCGATTAGCGCGCTTGTAATGGGTGATTCATTTATAGGTACGTTTTTCAGCAACAAAATAAAATAACAATATTCTTTTTTCTTGTCAAATCTTTTTTATTAAAGAAAAGAACTATTTTTGACATTTATTTTTTAAATATTATTTCTTTCAAATGTTGGCCCTGACTCCGGTTGAGATGGTCCATTCTAAAGTTCCAATTTTCGATGACACGTCGGAGCATTTCGACTGGAATTTGGCGAATGACCTGCCTAATGTTGGCTTCTAATTCCGCAATCGTATTGGGCTTATCAATGCAGACTTTGAACTTAACGTAGCCCCAAGGAAAAAGTCTAGAGGTATGATATCACATGATCTAGGTGGCCAATTCACTGGTCCAAATCGTGAAATTAAGTGTTCATCGAAATGTTCTCGCAATAAAGCCATGGTTGCACGGGCTGTGTGGCAAGTGGCGCCGTCTTGTTGGAACCAAATGTCATCGAGATTACGGGCTTCAATTTCAGGCAGCAAATAATCCGTTATCATGGCGCGGTAACGAGCATCATTCCCAGTTACGTTCTGACCGGCCTCATTTTAAAAAAAATAGGGACCGATGATTCCACCGACCTATAAACCGTTGTTTTCGCTGGATGTAATGGCAGCTCTTGAACCACTTCGGGTTGTTTTTCACCCCAAATACGACAGTTTTGTTTATTAACGTAGCCGTTAAGCCAAAAATGGGCCTCATCGCTACACAAAATTTTGCTCGAAAACATCGGATGTTCTTCAAGCCGTGCAAGAGCCCAAAGACTGAAACAATGACGCTTTGGAAGGTCGGCCGGCTTCAATTCTTGGACGAGTTGAATTTTGTATGGTTTCAAATTAAGTAAAATACTCCAAGTTGTTGAATACGATAAGCCAAGCTGTTGAGAACGGCGCCGAATCGATTCTTCACGTATACTCTCAGCTACCGCAGCTATATTTTCTTCACTGCGTGCTGGATGTGGTCTATTTGGTCGGGTATTATCCAATAATGAAAATTGGGTTTCAAGTTTTTCGACCGTACGGCGAATTGTGCGTTCGGTGGGCCGATTATGTACACCATAAGTTGCTATAAGTGCACGAAACACACTTCTCGCAGAACGTTGCTTTTCGTAGTACAGCTGAATTATTTGTAGACGCTGTGCTGGACTAAGTCTTTCCATGATGAAATGTCGAACAATACTGAAACAGAAAATGTCAAATTAGTTCTCATGACGCATGCGCCATAAGCAATTACAGCCACACCAAAAAAGTACCTCTAAATGAATCACCCGTTAGTATTGTGGCCGCTTCTAAAACCCGATAGTTTCACAGGTAAAATGTTATTTTCAGTTAAATGTGCGACTAGCTGTCTATACATTATCTTTTCTAAAATCTTTGAAAGTACGGGGGAAATGCTGATTGGGCGTAAATCATTACATAATTGTGGACTACTATTTTTAGGGAAAGCAAGAATAATAAACTGTTTCCAGTCTTTAGGAAAATAACCTTTTTTTCTAAGCAGCAGTTGACAATATGTGTCATGTAAATGTAAGCTTTCAGGTTTAGTCCGTCATTCCGCTGAGTATTAGACTTAATAGATTTGAAAGATTGTATCATGCCTTTGTGAACAACAAGTTTAAAACTAAATTTCTGTCTTGTGTGGTAACTGTTCTTTGTGTGGTTAGTAATTTTTTCAGCACAACATTCATCGCTGTATGAAAAAACGGAACAAAAGAAATTGTTTATAGCATCTGGGTCTTTCAATCGATCAGGCATATCAGCCACTTTTGACTGCCTAATAAGTAGTTTTTAAGGCTTTGTGAAACGCTGAGTAGTTGTTTTGTATGTTTAAAAACTCAAACAAGCAGCCTTTTCCTTTCTTGTTGCATCAATAACTAGATTTTTCATCTTTATAATGTCTCCATGACTGTTCGGTTTTACTCCGTTTAAATTCTACAATTCTTCTCGACATCTCATAATGACTATCAAGCTGTCAGTGAGCCAAGGAGCAGGAGGTTTACTAACACGGACAGTTCTGATCGGCGCATGTGTATCAAATAAACATTATATGCGTCGATTTAAGTATAACACCTTTTTGGTCTATGTTTTTGATTTAAAGGATATTTTGACATGGACATGCATTGAGGTCTGATTGAAATAAGTCATCATTAATGTTTTTAAAGTCACGAAAAGTAATACATGTTGTGGCGGGGGTGATACCATCCCTAAAATCTTTAATGGAAAGGGTCTTTTAATTCCCTTTATAATGATGTAAAATACATGAGCTTCAGTTCAGTAGTTTTGAAGATTTATTGATTTAAAGCTTAAAGTAGACTTTAATAGGTACATCAGATTAGTTTGTACTATTTTCAGAAGAAACTTGACTAAAAGAATTTACTTAATAATTAAATGCTTTTCTTCACTACGTCCTGGTTTGTTTATCATTTTGTTGTTGAAAATAGCTATTGGAGCGTTTTTTTGTGGCAAAAAAGTTATTTCTTGAAGAAAGATAAGGAAATATCTTGTAGTTATTTTAAATAGGAATTTAGTACATAGTTTGCGATTGATTTGACCAAACTTTGTTGATAAAATAACTTGTAACGCTTGATTACATAAATTATATATATGGCGAGTATCTGCAACCTAAGGTCGCTTCTCGCAACCCATACGCCATCGTATCCTATCGTTCCAGTCTCCTTCATGTAGTCCTCTACTTTCCATTGCGGTATGGATGTTTGAAATCCATTTCCTTCGTGGTCTTCCTCGTTTATTTCTTTGTGCTGGTGTCCATTTCCAAACCCTTAATGGTATCCTTTCTTCGTTCATTCGTTGCAGGTGTCCATACCATTTTAACTGCCTCTCTGTTATATCGTCCATTATTGTATTTTCGACTTCCATTCTTTCTCTGATGGTCTCATTTCTAACATGATCAAGTAAAGTTAAACCGGAACATCTTCTCCAGTACATCATTTCGGTTGAGAGAAGCTTTTGTGACATATTTTTATCTACAACCCACGCTTCTGACCCATACGTCAGTACTGGCTGAATCATAGCCTGATATATAATTTTTTTTGTTTTCTTTGTTAGGTTCTTACTCCACAAGATCGGATGTAGTGCTTTAATCATATTTTTTCCTTTTCCTATTTTCCTTAGTATGTCTTTATTATCCTTTCCGCTTTCATCTATTGTAACTCCTAGGTACTGGTACTGTCCGACGTTTTCTATTTTTCCGCTTTTTGTTTCGATGTCTTGTTCTGTGCCTCCTATAGTCATGTATTGTGTCTTTTGTATATTTATCTCCAAACCCCATTTAGTGAATTCTTCTATAAGTTTGTTTATCATGTAAGTCATGTCTTGCTGGTCTTCTGCAAAGACTACCTGATCATCTGCAAAGAGGATTGTATACAAGTGAAAGTCCTCTAACCATATCCCCATGGGGCTGCACTTTCTTATCCACTGTTTTAAAGCGCTGCAGAGATAAATTTTAAACAGGGTAGGAGAGAGGCAGGAGCCCTGCTTAACACCTTTTGTTTGTGGGAAAGCCTCAGAAATTTGATTTCCGACTTTAACGACCACTTGATTTTCTCTATACATTGCTTTTACGGCGTTTATGTATTTGCTATTTATGCCTGCTTCTTTCATTGCGATCCATAATTTCTGCAAAGGGACGGAGTCGAATGCCTTGCGGAGATCTATAAAAGTAGCGTATAGCTCCATTCCTCTTGCTAATCTCTTTTCTGTCAGTTGTTTTATTGTAAATATGTTGTCGACACAGGATCGCCCAGGTCGAAATCCACTTTGTTCTTCAATTTCCGTGGCTTCGTCTTCTATTCGGGCTGTTAGGACTCTTTCGTACAGCTTTCCGATGGACGATGTAATACTAATACCCCGATAATTACTACAGTCACTCCTGTTTCCCTTTTTATAAATGGAATTTATGTAAGAGCTCCTCCAATCTCTGGGAATCGTTTCCCCTTCCAGGCACTTGTTAAAAATTACACAAAGTAGCTCGTGCGTTCTTGTGGTGGCGTGTTTAATTAACTCGATAGGCAAATCCCCCGGTCCCGGAGCTTTATTATTTTTCATTTTTTGTAATGCTGTTTTTATTTCTTCTAATTGAATGGTATCTACTCTGTTAACTCCCGTTTGATCTATATCTAGTTGCGTGTCTAAACACTCTCCACGTTGTTCTGCCAGTAGATTATTGTAGTAGTCTTTCCACTGTTCTATTTTTATGGGATTTATTTTTCTTCTTTCATTCGTGTTTGTTTTAAGACCATTTATAGTTCGCCAAGCTTCTCTAGACCTAGATCCTCCTACCATTGAGCTAATTTCAGCACATTTGGTTTCCCGTGTTTTGTTTTTTATTTTTTTAATTTCTTTTTTTACTATATATTTAAAACGATTATAGCTTTTTCGATCTTCATCGTCTTTTGTAGTTAACCATTTAAGATATATGTTTTTCTTTTCTTCAACCAGTTGGGTTAAATCGTCCGTCCACCAAGAATTTTTGTGTTCCGTTCTATCTTTAACACCAAGGGCTTCTAGTGCTGCTTCGTGAATTTTGTGTTTCAAAGTTTCATACATTTCTTCTGCCTTGCCGTTAATATCTTCGTCCAGTTTTTGTGCTAAACGTAGTTTGTAAAGGAAACTGGTGGATTCATTCCTTAAGCTGTCTATGTTATATCGCTTTGTGGGTTTTCCATTGTTATTTTGTTCTTGATATATGAGATGTTTATTGTAAGTAATTTCAATGGGTGCTTTTACTAGCAGGTGATCTGAACCGCACTCAGCTCCTCTCCAAACTTTTACATCATAGGGTATTATGGAAGTGTCCTGCTTAATCACGACATAGTCAATAATTGATTTCAAGTTTTTTGTTTTTTGAGTCCAAGTATATTTGTGTATGTCTTTGTGTTGGAAAAATCCGTTTAAGATTCTTAACGAGTGTTGTTCACAAAGCTCTATCCATCTGGTTCCGTTTTCATTGACTACTTCCTCTCCGTGTTGTCCAATTATTTTACTGTCAAGAGCTTTGCCCACTCTTCCGTTCAGGTCGCCTATCAAGACTATTTCTTGTCTATTTTTCGTCTTATCTAATTCCTCAGAGAGTTTGTCAAAAAATTTGTCTTTTGTGTTTGTATCTGAGTCGTCTGTGGGCGCGTAGATACCGAATATTTTAATTTCTCTTCCTTTTATTTTCATGTCAACCGTTATGATCCTTTCGTCAACTGGGTTCCAGTCCATTATGAACTTCTCCATGACCTTTTTTATTGCAATAGCTACACCAGCTTTGGCCCGTTTCGATTTTTCTACTCCACTCCAGAAGCATATGTACTCATCTTTGTAGCTGTTTCCTTGTCCTTTCTTCTTTGTTTCGCTGAGTACTGCTATGTCGATGTCGTATGTGTGGAGTTCTCTAAATACTTGATCATCTTTAGTGTTTAGTCCTTGTATATTCCAGCATCCAATATTCGTTAACCGTTTTCTTTGCTTTTGTCGTTTTCCGTGTAATCCGTCCGAGTTCCGAGGCTGCTGTATGGGTTTTTTAGCAATGCTTTTTTTTCTACAGGGCGGGGAGCCAACCCGCCGCTACAACCCTCCTCCTTTATCCGGGCTTGGGACCGGCACTGGCAGTCACTGAGATACTCAATCCACCCAGCATCTACCAGAGGCGGAGTTACATAAATTAACCATGGTATATTCCACAGCAGAAAGAGTTGAAATTATCGAAATATTTTTCGGAAATAATCAGTGCGCTAACAGAACAGCAGAAATATTTAATGAGCGACATGAGAACAGTAACGTGCATCGAAAATATGTTCTAGAACTTGTAGCTAAATTTCGGGAAACTGGGTCAGTCGCCAATAAAAAACGCAACATTGAAAATCCCATAATCAACGAAGCAATAGAAGTGGGGGTTTTAGGGCAAGTTTATGTAGATCCTACGTTAAGTACCCGCAAATTGGAGACTGTGTGTGGTGTTAGTCGACGTACTGTCCAACGGATTCTAACGGTCCATAGTTTTCATCCGTATAAAATTCACCTGGTACAAGAACTTAATGAAGACGATTTTGATCGGCGATTACAATTTTGTGAAGATATGAGTGAACGAATTATAAACGATGAACATTTTCTATTCAACACTTGGTTTTCCGACGAATGTACCTTTTTCTTAAATGGCGTAGTAAATCGTCATAACTGCCGATATTGGTCCGACTCTAATCCCAGAATTTATCATGAGGTTCATACACAGCAGCCACAAAAACTAAATGTTTGGGCTGGTATTTTTCATTTAGTTGGTCCTTTTTTCTTACCTGGAAATTTAACCGGTGAAATGTATTTGGAATTACTGGAAGACCCCATAGATCCTGCATTAACAGCCATAATTGAAAATCAGAATGATCGGCGGTACATTGCGAATAGGTTGATGTTCCAACAGGATGGTGCCCCACCACATTACGCATTACGTGTTCGACAATATTTAGATCGGACGTTTCAAGATTGATGGATTGGTAGAAGAGGTGCCATTGAATGGCCCCCAAGATCGCCAGATTTATCACCTTTGGATTTCTTCATGTGGAGTTATTTAAAAAGCAAAATCTATGCTACTCAGCCAACATCATTAGAAGACCTGCGACAAAGAATTGTGAAAGAGTGCCTTCAAATTACTCCTCAAATATTTCAAAATGTGCGGCAATGTTTTGAGCAAAATCTTTATTATTGTATGGAGAGTCATGGTGGCCATTTTCAACATTTACTTGCCTAACGGGTCAGTTCATTCTTCATTTTTAAATTACTTTGCTGCCAAATGTATTGATCTCCAATAATGATGATGTACTCGTATTTAAGCTTTAAATCAATAAATCTTCAAAACTACTGTACTGAAGGACATTAATTTTATATCATTATAAAGGGAATTGGAAGACCTTTAAAATAAGGTATCACTCGACCCCCCTTTCCATTTAAGATATTGGGGGTGGTGTCACCCCCGCCTAGGGGGCTGCACGTGCTGACGTGATTTTTTGCCAAGCTTGTGTCACCCTCGAAAACAAAATCGACGGGTCTGAGCGTTTTTCCAAAAAAAAACTGAGCTGCCAGTAAATGCGTCTGTTTCGTTTTCGATGCGCCACCCTGTATGTTCCACGAAGAATATTTTGTCTGATCTAATATATTGTTTGGTAGAGCGTTAAGGATGCAACTATTTTTTATTAATGTCTCATATTACAAATATTGCTTAGACTCTCGATGGAATAGGTACTTATGAACTTAAAATTCGCGGAGAAATTCCCTCTTCAAATGTATGTTTTCATATTCAATGGAGCAAACATCATAAACAGTTGTTTACTACCCATCGTAAATTGCTTACGCTCGGCCCTTTCCAGGGATCAAAAGCATACTGCATGAATAATGGGTCGTTAGGTACAGTAGTACCTAATCTTATTTGACGAATTGTTTACCCTGTGACTCATAATTCAGGATTCAACAAGAAATACTAGTTCTTGCAAGTAAACATCAGAATAACAAATTGAAAATCGAATAGAGATAAGATAATGGATGTGCTTTGGCCTTTTTGAAAGTACATATTGGTCCAGGCAGGGTTGCCAGGCGTGACGATTTGACGGCTTCAAATGGAGACTAAATTAGATAGCTTAGCGCCCAGTATCAAGCAAACTGGTGAATATATGGCGATTTTTAACATTTCTGACGCCAAGTAATTTGTAGTCAATTTTTGCTTATAATGTGTATAGATTAATGAAATATGAAACCAGGATCAGCGGAAATTCTGTGCTCTAAGGGCCGTATCATCAGTCATTCCTACAATTGCAGGATGCTTGATTGTCATAAAATATTCTCTCCTTCAAAAAGGCTGGGGTATTTCTATACTTCACCTGTTCCGTGTCAGCGTCACCGCTCTCCTATTGTGAAGTTATGTTATTCTTTTCAATTGCAGGAAATTTCAGGGTGATAAAACAGATGATATAAATCAAAAGCATAAACAATTTGATGCAAATAGATATTTGTGACATAACCCCAAAATAGAGCGCTGGCACGGAACAGCACGAAACTATGAAAATCGGGGAGGCCATATGAAGGCGTCCGAAAAATTGTAGGAACGACTGACGATTCGGCCCTAAGCACAATAGTGAGTTTTCACATAACGCTTAGAGAAGCGACGTAGACGCAAACGCTATCCGGTAAAGCACATTACGTATACGTTATGTTAATCGATTGTGGACACTTTTCGCAACAGCATGAGAAATAACGTGGACATAACCTTAAATTTGTGACCTTAAAGCTTACCCTACAACGCTATAACCCCAATGCTTTGGCTGTAAAGGTGTCTTTGACAAAATGGATGTACAAGAACTTCTTGATTTGACCGCTATATATGTTTTACGTCCAGAATCAGAAAACCTGGTAATGTAAGCGGATTTTCTTAGAAGCATATACACCAATGCCTTAAGAGAACCGAGATATTGGGCTCCGCAAACACAATCAGACCTGAACCAAACAGAAGCCGGTCCTGTCGAATCCCTCGATCACGTCAACAGCGCCAGCGTTCTACGACTATGATGTAAATACGGATTTTACGACAGAGCCGTACTTGAAATTTCAATTCGACTGAATACAACACTTTTTCATTTATTTTTTACTTGTTCGCTCACGTTTCACTACACATTAGCTTTGTTATATCAAACGTAGTTGTGCCTGAAAAGTTAAACCCCAACTTTGCGGACACCCTGTATAATGGATCAACCTACAAAAACAATCCAGGTTTATTGTAGATGCTAAAAGATTTTTAAGTTGCAAATTACCATAACAATCTTATTTTGCCTTCATACCGTAAATCCTAATTTAATAAAATTAAAATAGAACGATCGCTAACAAAAATAAAAAGTTAGATAAACAATCTATGTTTGAAAAATGAGATCAATTCCACGTTTTAGAATTCAGTGATATGACCTACGCTGGTGTTTCAAAAATATATCATTCTCTCTGGTTGTGATAAGCTACGAATTACATACAATATGACTTGATGCCATAGGCTTGGTTACAAGCAGTGATTCTGATAAAATATCATATAGATATGAAGTCAGTGGGGTATCGGCAATGTTCTGATTGAGTAGAATACAATACAGACTTATTTTGTCATACTGAACATTAGATACATAATTATTCGCATCCCAGAGGCGGTAACTCTAAAAGAGTATTATTGTATTCAAAACTAGCAAATATACATATTTCAAAATTTCAGGGAGCAACCGCAATGTCGGAAGAAGGGGTACACGGTTCCTTTGTTATTGACGGGGAAAACATGACATCTATACATATGTGTATTTGAAACAACGGCACCAATCCAGATCCACATAATAGTCCAGGACTATTAGACTTTCTCTGTTGAAAAAATCCCATCGGGATGACTTTTTTACCAGAGCTTCTTTTCAGCATTATAAATCATCACTCAAAAGTCTCCATGGATCCAAGTGGAGCTTTTTTTGTGGGGGGGTCAAAGGTCACAAAAAACACTTTTCTCCATATATGTTCGGAAATATCAATTCTACGATAAAAATGAGTAATTACCTTTTTTGTTCAGTATAAAATTCTCCACAAAAAAGGTTCTATGCATTTTTTTTATAGAGATCGTTTTCCAAGGAAATTTTACTTTCAATGTTGAACATTGAGAAAATTGTAAAATAACGTACTTTTTTCCATGTCACTATAGAGGTAAAGTAACAGACGCGTTTTTTTTCATGTATATTCCTCAATAGGCCTAATCCACAAAGATAGAATGGAAAAATGATGTTATTGTTACTTTTTTCCTTAGTCAGCCATGTGACATGATGCGGCATCATCTAAGTCTTCGCCAACCTCAAGTGTTGAGCATAGGAAATTCATGGTGTCTACAGGGTGTCCCGAAAAAAGTGTGCAATATTCTACCAGCGGTTTCTACAGCTTAAAATAGGAATAAAAGTTTATATAAATATAGGTCGACAAACGTCCCCTAAGGGCGCTACGGTCTTTTAAAGGGGCTCCCCTGGAGATGGTTTTTCCTTAATATTTCCGAAACGTGTTGAGATAAAGACATAAAATTTGGTATTCTAGCCTAGTCTTTTATGCTGGTTTTAAAAATATTGAAAATTTTTGACAGTTTTGTTTGGAAGCGTTTGGAATAACTCAGGTTATTTTAGCCCCAAAATTTTTGTGTGATTCTATTTTTAAAATTCAATTTTAGAATTTGCAAATTTAGGGTTATTTAAATAAAAAAAGTACTCTTGTTGAATATCGATAAATTGTGCCATTTTTGAATAAAATCTAACTAAAAAATTTGTCACATGATGGGAAATGTACGGCGAATTTAAATGAATTGTTGAATAATTAGCGATGGCAACGAAATAACTAATTTAATAATTGGTAAATATTACATAAATATATATTTATATTGCAACATAGCTAACATTTAGGCAAAAACAAAAGAAATAAATATTTTCTACGAACGAAATTGAAATTTGTTCAAAAAAGAAGACATACAGTTGGATATACTTAAAACTAGCTTTACAATAAGTGTTCAAATAAATTCCCATTTTGTT